GCCAACGTTCTAATTCTGCCCCCTCTAGTTTTCTTTAGTGCCCCCCCCCTGCCCCCCCCCTCCCCCGTCTGTGGCTTTCACAACACTTTCCCTCCCTCTTCACTCTCTCTCTCTCTCTCTCTCTCTCGCTCTGCCTCGGGCACACTTTTGTATGGAACATGACATGGATGGACTATCAGGAAACGTGATTGACTTTGCCCCATGCAGGCTTTTCCATTTTCTGCTTGATTTCACAGCCGTCTGTGAACCTGAGTTAGTGTGCAGTGGCAGAAAAAAGAGCTCAGACTTTTTTAGATGGAATGTAAATTTGCATCAATTTTAATATTACTGTATAAAAACCTCAGAAATTCAATGTTTGATGAAAGACTTGATGAAACTTTGATGTGAGTTAATGAACCCACTTTAACCAATGACCAGTTAAAACACATTCTTCTCAACACCAGCGCAACTGTCTTCAAATACTTTTCTGTGTTCTCACGTGCGTGCCTCAAGGCTACCATGTTACACACACACACACACACACAACAGAGGTGTGACATCACAGCCTTTGATCCTTCTGGCCAGTGGATAACCTGAGAACACGGCCTTTTGTTTGAAGTACCATTCAGTTCCAGCTGAGCTCCTGATGAAGTGTCTCGTCACTGAACTAAAGAAATAAAGTCCATTTGATTCAATCTAAACTATTAGTTATGATGAGAGGACAACTGGACCGTCTTGGAGTCTGAGCTCAGACCATGAGATCAGGGCGCGGTCGCCTCCTTGGTTTTCCTGGAACGACCGTCTTCTCAGATATTCAGCCACTTCGTCTGACACTCTGAGGCTCGTGATATTATTTTTCAGCATCCGACCGCGGGGCTGAGAACGGACATTAGACTAGAAGGAAAACCTGTGTAAAAAACACTGTTGGTGTGGAGTGATGTCACAGTTAGTCCACATCACAACCACCCAACTTTGTCAGCGTTAAGGTGAATTCACAGGATTGGTTAATAAAACCTGACCAGTTCCACCTGATGTTACACGTGTGGGAATTAAATGACCAGATTTAATTTGATTCAAACAGTTAAAACAAACTGTTGCGTTTGCAAACACACTGGTGTGTGTTGGCTCAGGTGGTGGACAGTAGGTGGCAGGTTCCTGACACAGCGCCACACTCCTGCACACTCCTGCACTGCCTTTTATATTTAGGAATGATCAGACGTTTGATGAGAGCTCTCAGGGTGGAGCGGGTGGAGCGGGTGGAGCGGGTGGACTCAGGTAAATTAGTAATAGATTTTGGGCGGAGGTGACATGTTGACCTGTGGTCATTATTCTTATTGACGTGTAAGGCATGGTAAATTAGCACCAGGGTTCCTCCTGAGCAGATGTGATCAGTTCAAACGTCGTCTCTTCTTCAGTGCTGAGAGCCACTCTGAGGAGAATCCCTGCTCCTACTCTGTTTGGAGCTGATGTACAGGAGCTGTCACTCCATGCAGAAATGCAGTCCAGCAGTCGACTCAGATTTAAGGTATGCACTGACAGACGGTGTCTCTCTCTCCCTCCTACCTCAAACACATATACATAGATCAGAGCAGTGAGGACCAACTGGCCGCACACACACAGTAGGATTAACCTACTGAAGGATTTTTCATGTCTTCACAGATTTTCGATCCTAACAATAAAAGGTTTGAAGTTCCTCACGAACACGTCAGCACCGTGACCAGCCAACCCTCCGTCCCCATCAGCGACACGTTAACTATCTCACACAAACCCTTCGGTCTCACCGTGCGCAGGAGAGAAAACAAAAAAGTACTGTGAGTATTCACTGTGCCCCCCCTCACCCCCCCGTAACCAACAATAGATATGTAGCATATAGATACTACAGTTGTTTCATCATCTATATATGATATATAATATTATAAGGTCATAGTAGAGCCTGACAACCTTTGACCTTGATGCCTCACTGACCCCACATCATTTACAGGGATTTGAACCTTCACCCTGCAGCAGTGAGATACCGTTAGATTAGATGAGGTGATTAGTGGCTGCTGAGTAATTAGGTTGTCTTTGATCCTCCTGCTCTCCTGTCACTGTCTCATTGGAGGACTGTGGTCACGTGACTGGGTGAATGTGTACTTTGATGTGTAGCTGACAAATACAACTCAATTGTTTTCATTAAACTAGTTATTTCTCCATTAAAACGTCCTATCAGCGTTGACTCAGTAAAGGATAACAAGGACAATAAGGACATATTTACAAATGGTACAAAATCACAGGAGCCGAGTCTAAACTACTGTCATAATGACTGTGTCCTTCAACCTGTCGGGTTAATCAGCAACCAGCTGGTTAGTAGGTGTGTCAGCTGATTGGCTGACTGACTGATCGACTGACTGACTGTCTGACTGACTGACTGGTTGACTGACTGACTGTCTGACTGACTGACTGACTGTCTGACTGCCTGACTGTCTGACTGACTGACTGACTGACTATCTGACTGACTGACTGACTGACTGTCTGACTGACTGACTGGTTGACTGACTGACTGTCTGACTGACTGACTGGTTGACTGACTGACTGTCTGACTGACTGACTGGTTGACTGACTGACTGGCTGACTGACGACTCCTTTAAATTGTTTGCCAATCATTTGTATTATTTGTTAGTTTTGTTAGTTGCCTCTTGTATTTAAAGACTTTTACTTCAGTATCTCAGCAGTGGTAATATTTGAGCACAGATTCCCGACAGATTCAAGAATCTAGAACTCCTTTAAATTGTTTGCCAATCATTTGTATTATTTGTTAGTTTTGTTAGTTGCCTCTTGTATTTGAAGACTTTTACTGCAGTACTTCAGTATCTCAGCAGTGGTAATATTTGAGCACAGATTCCCGACAGATTCAAGAATCTAGAACTCCATGATTGTGTCTGTCATAATCTGTCATCATCCCCAACTGTTCCTGCTCTTTTTGTGCTGCTTCTCACATCTGTCATTGTTTCCACACTGTGTGTGTGTGTGTGTGTATCCAGGTTTGACACAACGATAGCACCCCTGGTCTTTGCTGACCAGTACCTCCAACTGACGGCTAAGCTTCCATCCCATAATATATACGGTCTAGGTGAGCATGTTCACCAGCAGTTCAGACACGACACCAACTGGAAAACCTGGCCCATCTTCACCAGAGACGCCTTTCCTAATGGTGTAAGATATATACTGTATATATACACACACATCCATCCATCCATCCATCCATCCATCCATCCATCCATGACTCTGTCTCTCTGCCTTCCCTCCAGGGGACACACAACCTCTATGGCCACTACCCCTTCTTCCTGTGTCTGGAGGATGAGTCGGGGAAGTCCTTCGGGGTGTTTCTCATGAACAGCAATGCGATGGGTAAACATGAAAACTATCACGTGCACATTCTTCTCCAGCAGGATTTCAGGGCTCATGGGGTTTTACTACAGTGTATGACTAGTAAGGAGCCGTGTCCCTTTTGCAGAGGTCACACTGCAGCCTGCTCCAGCTATAAACTACAGGACCATCGGAGGAATCCTGGACTTCTATGTTTTCTTTGGCGACTCCCCAGAACACGTGGTGCAGGAGTTCCTCCAGGTTGGTGTTCAGACTGACTGTGCAGGTAACTCTGTGTTTTCAATAAAGCCCAATGTTGACATTCCCAATCATGCCTTCATTGGCAGCTCATTGGCAGACCCGTGATCCCCCCCTACTGGTCACTGGGTTTCCAGCTTTCTCGTTGGAACTACGGTAACCTGGATGTGGTCAAAGAAACGGTGGAGAGGAACCGTGCTGTTGGACTCCCATATGTAAGATGAGGATCACTGCTCTTTTTACCTTTGCTTTTGATGCCTGTGTGAAAGTCCTAGATTATATATATATATATATATAAATATGAACTACTACTTAAGTACAACATCACCCTAAACCTATCCTCTAACCTGACTCCATCTTCTAAATCCCAAATGTGAATTTTGTCATCGTAAATCACTTGCTTGGAGCCAGATTCCAAGCTGCTCATTTATACATTTGTGCTTGACAAGTGACTCATAAACTAAAGGGAGTGAAAACTATATTTTCATAGACACTTCATTACATTTCCACTAATTGATCTTCAAACATCAGGAGGAAAGAGAGAGACAGAGAGGACAGAAATCCATGGACCTGTAGTAAAACACGAGGGCGGGTGTGTGAGTCCGGAGGCAGGAGCTTTAACCACTGCACCCAGGACGTGACATGAAGGTTGAGGCACGGCTCCAGGAGACAGTCAGAGTGATGGGGATGGCCTTTAGCTTAGACGGGCTAATCTAGCTTTCTGTCAAATAACGGAGAGTGCACAGGTCTCTGTGGGTTCAATCCCAGAACCACTATTCTTCAAGTGTCAATGAGTGTTAACACTGATCAAACATTGATAGGCTGAGTGTCTTTCATTATTTCAATCATTCTTTTCTGGATTTCAATATTACCAGGAACTCATGGGAAACGCTGGTTCTGGTTGACATTTAAATGGTAATGGACTCAGCAGCTCATCTTTTTCCAGGCATAATGGCAGTAACTGAATAAAAATTTAGAAAATATACACGGACCGATGGTTGAAGTGTGTAGACGAGGGGGGGCCGGGAAGTTTAAACAGCTTCTATTACAAGTATTTGTTGTTTTTATATATGAAATAAGAATTATACATCATGTTTGTCCAAAAACTGAAAGAACGTGTCAATGGAACTGAAAGGACTCCAGTCTGTGGAGGAGACAAACACAGGTCGTCTGGGACCCTGTGGGAGTCAGAGAGTCCCTGCAGGAACTGTTAAATGGACCATAGGTAGAGAAACTCTAATAGCGTTCCCCTCTTTGTTACATAAAAATTAAACTATCACTGAACCAGAAAAGACTTTGAGTAAACTCTGTCTTATCTGAAGACACAATATCAGCAAACGATCTGTAAGGCAGGAGGCACGGACGCACTGTGGCATCGTAATACGTCTCTCTGATCATCTGCAATCTCTCGTTCACATCCAAAGACATTAGGCCCGTTTCCCCTCCAACTGTACTCAGGGACATATTTGATAACCATTAGATAGACCACAGAGGGCATTATCACATTTCCCCTAATATGTCTGGAGCGGATTACCATTAGGGGAGGAATCTGGCGCAGCCCTCACAACCATCTGCTCTATCAACATGGAGAGGATTCTTGGCAGACAAACAGATCAGAACAAGTATGATGTTGCATTCTGGGAGAAAACAGTCAAACGTGTTGTCAGTCCACTCGTCCTCCCAAGGTTCAGTAAAAGCAGGTTTACTAGCCTTTGTTGGAGTTGAGTTGAGTGACAGTTTGAAAAGTACCAGTGCATATAATTAGGGAAGAACGTATGGATCCGTGGATACAGTGGAGGAGCTAATGACCCTGCAGAGACGTGGTAACTGTCCCATTAGAACAAGAGGACAACATGAGGGAACAGTTCCTTTAAACTGGACGAGACTTTTCTGTTTACATTTATTTTCCTTTACACAGGACATCCAGTACACTGACATCGACTACATGGAGGATAAAAAAGATTTCACCTACGATAAAATCAAATTTAAGGACTTGCCTAAGTTTGCTGACTACCTCCATGAGAAGGGGCAGAGATACATCCTCATCCTGGTAGGACCGTCAGATGAGTGTGAATGTGATTACAACAGGGGGCTGTTATAAAAACTGTCTGTCTGTCTGTCTGTCTGTTCCAGGACCCTGCCATAGCCACCAGTAAACGGGTTGGCGACGCTCCGTACGGGTCCTACGACCGCGGCAATGAGAAAAACGCCTGGGTTTTTGATTCTGACGGTAAAACTCCTTTGTTGGGAGAGGTGAGTCCAAGTGGGGGAGGGAAGAGAACACTGACACTAACTCTGAGACACTCGTATAACACAGCTCATTGCAGGAGGCTTTAAGATCCATTAAAGCTGTAAAAATCCTCCTTTTATAGATGATGTCATGTCTGTTTGAGAATGATGAAACAAACCTCCTCCAAAGTTAGAAGAAACCAAGAAAATATTCTGTTACACAAAGACGTTGATGTCACATGACCCCAGGCAGAACCTCACAGAGGTCCAGCCTCAGTTTCTACACCAGAGGATGAACCAAGTCCAGAACCGTTTTATCAACAGCATCACGTTTCCCTCAAAGTCAGTCCAATCTGAGTCCCACAAACGCCAGGCTCCAAACTACTGTTTTTATTGTTGCAAACATTCACTGGTTTTTTGTCTATAATCAGGCCCTAACGACTTTGTTGGTTTGGAAATCTGGCCTGGTTGAATTTATAACTGAATAGTCCCTTCTGTCTGTACTGCACTCAGCAGTTTAAAGTTCCAAATCAAGAGTACTTCCACCTTCTAGTACATTTAGAATCTACTGGTTTCTTAAAGCTCATACCAGTATTTTCACACAGTTAACAAATCACACACGTCTTCAAAACTGTCCATCCGTGTCTTTGGAGTTTCACCCTGCTGTGTCACTGTTCTCTTCACTGCTGAGGATCTCAAGCTGCACCATCAAGGGGTTTACCTCAAAATGCACCTAATTATGTAGCCTAGCAGCTGTAGCCTAGCAGCTGTAGCCTAGCAGCTGTAGCCTAGCAGCTGAAGCCTAGCAGCTGTAGGTTAGCAGCTGTAGGCTAGCAGCTGTAGGCTAGCAGCTGTAGGCTAGCAGCTGTAGCCTAGCAGCTGTACGCTAGCAGCTGGAGCCTAGCAGCTGTAGGTTAGCAGCTGTAGGCTAGCAGCTGTACGCTAGCAGCTGGAGCCTAGCAGCTGTAGGTTAGCAGCTGTAGGCTAGCAGCTGTAGGCTAGCAGCTGTACGCTAGCAGCTGGAGCCTAGCAGCTGTAGGTTAGCAGCTGTAGCCTAGCAGCTGTAGCCTAGCAGCTGTAGGCTAGCAGCTAGCCGGTATTCTGTCCTGTTTTTTTATCTTCCCTATAGAAAACCCTCAGGTGAAAACTGTCAGTGTGGACATTATTTTGAAGAGCTGCCAAACCAGCAGTCTCAGAAACTGCTGCATTCACACTGCTGCATTCACACTGCTGTATTCACACCACTGTATTCACACTGCCCTTCATGTGCCTCCAACTTCAGGTGTGGCCAGGAGAGACGGTGTTTCCAGACTACACCAGCCAGGGCTGCATTGACTGGTGGGTTGATGAGTACGAGAGATTCTCCAAGGAGGTCAAACACGATGCCCTTTGGATCGTAAGTCAATTCAACTATGATGTGGAGAAACAGTGCAACAGCAGCCACTTATTTAAAAGAATTCTTATAATCAGATGATGATGATGATGTTCAGTGGACGGGTGTTGTCTTTCCACATATTCTGGTGTGTGAAACATTTGCAGGACATGAATGAAGTCGCCAATTTCAAGCAAGGATCCAACAAAGGCTGTGCTGCTAACAACCTCAACTACCCTCCCTTCACTCCAAGTAGGTCACCACAGCTTGAGCCACAGGTTTCTGTTCAAGTTGGGTTAAAAAAGACTAGCTGTAAGACCGATACAAAGACAGACACGTTAAAACATGTTTTAGTTGAGACGCATTCTGAAGTGGAAACACTGTCTTAGGACTTTGTCTTTAATTATACATCTGTTGACAAAGTGGTTACAGAACCGAGCTCTAAAAGTGTAGAAATAGAGGGTGTCTCTTGTCCATAGCCCAAAGCCCGTGAACAAGTTGATCAATGGTCCTCAACAGCTCATAAAGTGAGAAAACTCCTCTGTAATTGTGACTCCCTGTTGGAGAATTTAAAAACTGCCTCGTCCTCCATGTCTTATGTTCCATCTGTGACTCTGACAGGACCATCACCGTCACAGTCCAAGGCAAACTCCCCAGACACTACCTGTTATGACACTCCCCCTAAGACCTCCTCACCTTTCACTGCTCTGTTGTCCCATGTACTGTATATATATATGTACAGCATATAATTCTATTGGTCTTTCTCTCCTTGTCCCGTCACCATATTGGACCGTCCTTTTTGTCTCACCCCTGCCTCACCTCCTCTTACACCACCTTTGTTTACCCTCCCACCCCCAGGAATTCTGGATGACCTCATGTACAGCAAAACTCTGTGCATGGATGCCAAGCAGGCCTGGGGGGACCACTACGACGTCCACAGTCTTTACGGCTACTCAATGGTCCTGGCAACTGAAAAGTGAGAGCAGTCTGGATCAAAGTCATTTGTTCCTTGTCCTAAAATGTTGTGTGTGATGTCAAACATACACTGAGTGAATTCTGCCTCTCATTCTGAAGTCATGAGTGGAATTGATTGGATTTACCAACACCATCTAATAGGTGCAGGACTTACACAGTCCTGCAGGGGGTGTCGGTGTAAATGGAGGCTCTCATTATTGACATTTAATAATTAGGCACATAAAGAAGGAAGCTGGAGTGAACTTTGAAGGCACGAAGAACTCAACAGTGTTTGCAGAACAATTCTGTTTGTTAGGTGTAAGAAATAGAAGAAGTCAAATGTCCAACTGCTGTCACACAGTATATAACGACACCCTGTTTACATTCACTACTATGTTCAAATGAATTACCATCATTTATATATGTGTATATTCACCCGCTGCGTCCTGTCTACCTCACAGGGCTCTGCAGCGTGTGTTCGGTGGGAATCGAACCCTGATGTTGACCCGGTCCTCTTTCCCAGGTGTGGGAAAATACTCTGGTCACTGGCTGGGGGACAATGGTGCAAACTGGAATGACATCAGATGGGCTATTCCTGGCATGCTGGAGTTCAGCCTCTTTGGCGTTCCCTATGTGAGTACTATTAAAGTACACAGTCAGTACACAGTCAGTACACAGTCAGTACACGTGTTGTACTGAGTGCTGCTTCACACCACCTCAGTGCCCGACACGCTTAACTTAACGCTTAACTTAACGCCTAAGTTAACGCTTAAGTTAACGCTTAACTTAACGCTTAATTTAACGCTTAACTTAACGCTTAACTTAACACTTAAGTTAACGCTTAACTTAACGCTTAACTTAACGGTCTTAACGGTTAACTTAACGGTTAACTTAACACTTAACTTAACGCTTAAGTTAACACTTAAGTTAACGCCTAAGTTAACGCTTAACTTAACGCTTAACTTAACGCTTAAGTTAACGTGAAAACATCTCAGTTTTACTAAGGATATATATTTGACATGCTAGTGATAAGGTGATAAGGGTTAATATTGACTCTGTTGTTCCTCCGACCACAGTCACTGTGGTGTGACGTATTTCTGGACATCTTCAGAGCAGAGAGACAGAGACAGAGATGAAAACATCAGCGTCTCTCCTGCTGTGCATGTCAGGTTGTCCTATCGATGTCATGTTCTTCCTGGTGGGACTGTGTGAAGCTGAGTTCAAGTTCTCCGGCAGACAAACAACAAAAGAAAGCAAGAAAGAGAGAAACCAGGAGGAATTGGATTTGAATTGATTCCCTCCTGCTGAGTGTGTTGTTAACTGTAGCAGGCAGTAAACAATAGAACACAGGCTGTGGCCACGGACTGGCCTTTGACTCAAGTCTCTCTTTAGGTCCCTGCTGTGCATTAATGTACGTAAAGACCACCATCAACGTCATGCTGCTGCTGATGCTGCTGCTGATGATGATGCTGCTGCACGTCATGCTGATGCTGCTGATGCTGCTGATGCTGATGCTGCTGCTGATGCTGCTGCTGCTGCTGATGCTGCTGCTGATGTCACCCCTCCCCCCAACTGATCTAAACTGAACTGACACCAGACCACCCCCCCGACTGATCTAAACTGAACTGACACCAGACAGGATGTTTTTGTTGATTTGATGTTACAGACCAGGGTCTCACATTTAATATTTGATCTTCTTTATAAGCCCAGTTTTATAAAAGAAAAGTAAACACAATATGTTGTAGTATATTATAGTATATAATGTGTTACGCAAGATCTGGTGCTGTCAAACTATTATTACGATTCTTTTTGGATTTATGACAAATAATCAGGATGAGTCAACATTTGTAACTCTGACCAAAAGACAAAGAAGAGCAGCAGCAGGTGGCTGTACGTGGTTACACAGCAGGGAATAATCCAAACGACGGGATTATTCATATGAACGTTGTGTGTGGAGACACTGGTCATCACTCTGGCTCTCTGGGCTGAAGCTCAAGCCCACACAGATGCATGCTGGGAGTTCTTCAGGTTTGAACAAATATCCCGCAGGTGTCGGCTCCATCTCAACCTGTTTCCCCCGATGGCTTTCAGATCGGAGCAGATATCTGTGGATTTTTCGGACACCCCAGTGAGGAGTTGTGTCGTCGCTGGATGCAGGTTGGAGCTTTTTACCCCTTCAGCCGGAACCACAACGCTGAGGGTTACGAGGTACAGTAACAACTGTACTCTGGGGTTTTTTTAGCTAAATTTCCTTTCACTCAGGCCAAATATTCTTCTAGTGGCTAAAAATAGAAACTCATGAAGGAGACAACATCTCAGCAGCAGTGGATTTAGAAGCAGCACAACTACAGTCCTACACTCTGATTTGGCAGTTCAACTAATTCAGTCAATAAGTGGAAGTTTACAGCACTGGACAGTGTACTACAGCATCCCCGGTGGCAGGGGTTGGTATTACAGTGGTCTTGTTTGTATCTCTTTTTAAGTATATCAAAGATGAAGTTTTACAGTGAACATGATTTGATTGACTTGTTTACATTTTAACTGAGTTTTAGATGAAATCACTCGACTGCAGCAGCCCCCAGTTCACACTGCGTCACTTATTTTCTACCTGACACATCGTGTTTAAATGAATTTGGATGCACTGGGAGCGTGAGCCGCTGACGTCCCTGCAGTGACACCGTCACAGCAGCAGGTTTTTGGGCCACGGCAGCCAGAGGTGCAGACACTCAGTGCCAGGCTGACTCAGAGTCAGTGGAGCCAGGAGTTTTACGCCTGAGTAAATCATTATGTTAATGATTCATTTTGTTGTATTAGACCAGTTGATGTAGCATTACATTCTTAACAAAGCAATGACACAGTTATCACTTTTATGTTCAAATAATCCAAGTTAGAAATGAATCAGTTAATCCATGTCATGTTGAGGGATAAATATAAAAACTCTAATTAGTCTTTAGAACAACTAGTGTGTGTGCGTGTCTTAAAGTCAGCAACAAATAACTGAACTGGTAAGTGAAGACAAAGCTGAGTGACTTTTACCACATGAACGTGAACGTATGTTTGGCTCATATTTACCTTCTGACATTTCTCAGCTCATCACTATAAAAATAGCACAGCCTTGAGGAATGGGTGGAGCTGGTGGGGGGGCCCAGATGGGGGGCGGGGGATGTTTAGTGTACGCTGAAGGAGGCGGAGTAGGTGTGAGATGTGTAGCTGTGGGAGGACAATGACAAGAAGCTGATAAATTTAAAGTGAAGTTTCTGCTTAATGAGACAGCTAATGTGTGACCTTTGTGTTCCCTAATTATGGCTTTATTACACACACACACTGACACACACACACACACTCAAATTTGTCATCAGATTTCTGTAGCTTCCCACATTTAACCTTTCTATTCTACTCACATTTAATTAAAGAAAAAAAAAACAGTTCAATAGTAATATTTGAATTTCTAACTGAGAAAAAACCCTGTCATTCACAGGTTCTATTTTCCACACTATGTCACTGTGTTTGGTCTGTACTATATATATATATATTTTTTTTTTTCATGAATATGTTATTTTCCTCAGCCCCCCCCTCCCTCCCTTTGGGCTTGTTTCCCATGTGAAAACAGACACATCTACATTTCCGTCTCCCATTTATCAATGCCATCTCCTAAAGCCATCTTTCTGCCTCCAGCCTCAGGATCCAGCCTGGTTTGGTGCTGATTCGCTGCTGGTGAAGACGTCCATTCATTACCTGAGGATCCGTTACACACTCCTGCCTTACCTCTACACACTCTTCTACAGAGCACACACCACGGGGGACACGGTCGTACGGCCCGTCATGCATGAGTACGTCATTTTAAGTCGATCAAAATGTTAAACGTGAACTGAACGACACATCAAACACGACATCAGCCAAATTATTTGTGACTAACTAACTTAACTACCGATACTGCAACAACGGAGTATCTGCTACGACAAGTCGTACAAAGTCGATTTGAGCGTTCGGGCTGAGGGATCAGATCAGATGGACTCAAGTTTTTATGACGTTCGATCCTGAAACTTTGATCAACGTTGGATCGATGCTGAGTATCAAAAAACAACACACAAACAACACACAAACACACCAACCAGTTGAAATGATTGGTGACGATCCAACAGCCGTTACTTCAGACCAGACCATATTTATAAAACAGCTTTGTCATTGGTTGAGGTTACACTCACACACAACGTGAATAGAATCAAAGATGTTGGTGAGTCAGGTGGAACTAAACCAGTTTGACCAACCAGTTTGACCAACCAGTTTGACCAACCAGGGACGAGGACATCATGACATTATGTTTTATTTTGTCCTAGGTTTTATGCTGACAGTCAGACCTGGAGCGTGGACAGACAGTTCCTCTGGGGAAAATACCTGCTCATCACACCTGTACTGGACCCGGTCAGTCAACACACACACACACACACACACACACACAAAGTGTCCTCCGCTGGGAAGCCATGACATGAGATTTTCCATGTTGCCCCCCCCCCCGTCTCTTGTCCCCCTTTTTCCTCCCTTTCATTTCCTCGCTCTTTTTTCCTCCTCTAATGAGAGCACTGACCTCATTACTAGCAGATTAGAAGTGTAGATAGAAGTGTGTACGTGTGTGTGTGTGTGTGTGTGTGTTTGGGAAATGAGCTACATGCACTGGTGTGAGTTGGTGAGTCTGTGCAGCGGTTGTGGTTGTGTCAAAGTGGCCTGATTAATAAGCCATTTGGCCCGGCCTCTGGTGAACGACAGAACATTAGAATGTGGATTGGGTTGATAGTGAGCTGGGAACAAAGGAACTTCCTCAGTGTGAATTTGGAAAGTTTTGGGTTCAAGAAGTTTTAGAATTGTATTTGCAGAGCCTGAGGGTGTGAGACGTCCGGAGGGTACGCAGAAAGAAGGACTAAAAGGTTTGTATTTTCTCTGAATCAAAGACGGAGGAGGAAAAAGAAAGATGCTTACAGTAGTCAAACGCCTTCAAGGACAGAAGTGCGTTGCGTAATAAATCCATTAATGACCACTCCTTCATTTTCTAGCTTTAAGAGCAGAATCAAAGTGACCCAGTGATTGAACACAGTCCATGTGATACATTAGAAGTCAGTCTTCAGGGAGGACAATTATGACCTTCTGTGTAACGGTCTAGATCTGCACTTAAATAAAGAAGAAGAAAAATCCACTTTGAGCAAGTGATTGATGATGATGATATACTGTATGTGTGTGTGTATATATATATATATATA